GACGTAAGCAAAATCATTTTTATTATTATTATTATCATTATCATTATTATTATTATTTATGTAATTCAGAATCGTTAAAAAAAAAAAAAAAAATTTGATATTAAATTGAAATCGGAATATGCGAAGAGTATTTAATATTTGCTAATGTGTTTTTCGCAATCACACAAAAAAAACAAAAAAACAAAACGTTTATATATATTTTTTTTTAATGTTGGCATTACCGATAGCGGAGATCGTAACCGAAAAGATATATTCATAGAGTAAATAAATAATTTTTTTTTGTTCGGGTTTGTTTCTCCCCCTTCCCGTTCGAAAATGGGAAAAATAAACGAAGAGAAAATTTTCGATATAAATTTTTTTTTTTAATGTATATTCGAATTCCGAACGGTTTTCGAAATGAATAAACTTTTGCACGGGAATCGTTAATGTTTATTCGAACGGTTAAAACGGTAAAAAACACGCAAAAAAAAAAAGAGAGAGAGAGAAGGGGGAGTTGAGGGGGGAGTGAGAGAGAAAGAGAGAAAGAGAGAGGAAAAATTAATTTAATTGTTTTCTTTGTTTTAAATTCATTTGATTTTGGTTCAAATCCAAAAATTCGAAAAAAAAAAAAAAAAAAAAAATGGAATCACTTACGCGCGCATATTTCAATATCAAAAACATTCGACAGATTTGAACTTTTTTTTTTTCAATTTTCTTGCCAGTTTTTTTTTGATGGGGGATTCCCCTCCTCCTTTCCCCTTCCCCTTCCCCCCGCACCCGCCCCCTTTCGAAAAGTAAAATTACCGCGAATGTATAAAAAAAAAAAAAAAAAGGAAGGCAAAAAAGAAACGTGGGCAAGCGCAACCGGATGCTTTTGCGGTTTCGTTTCGTACGTAAACAAATAAATAAATAATTTGTTCGTTTTTTTTTTTTAACCGTTTTTCATCTCCTCCTCCTCCTCTTTCATCATCTTCTTCTCATCTTCTTCATCTCGAATTGTTCACCTGTTTACCTGTAATTTCGCGAACACCACGATGTGTAAATTATGTAATTGAATTTCATTTGTCATCAATTCCGATCGAATTTTTTTTTTTTTTTTCGTTTACAACGTCATCATTTGACGTCATAAATAAATAAATTAAAATATAAATAATAATAATAATAATAATAATAACGACGGTAATAAATAAAAAAAAATTTCGTTGCTCGAACGACGCCGTCGTTTGTTTTCATTTAAGAAAAAAAATTAATTGTTCTTTCTCTCTCTCTCTCTCTTTCTCTTTCTATCTTTTTCTATCTTTCTCTCTCTTTTCTGTTTTTATTACGTAATATGCGTAACCCAGTTTGTTTGTGTTAAAGTTCAAAACGAGCTCTCAGGAAGGTGCGAAAAAAAAAAGAGAAAAAAAAAGATTTTTTAAAATTTTTTATTTTGTCGTCTGCTGTCCAACGTTTTCGTTCCGTTTTCGAGGCCGTGAAAAAGAAAAAAAATTCAATTAAAAAATGTTAATTAAATCGTTTAATTATCCTGTTGTTGTTATTTTGCACTCTTTCTTCCCGTTCAACGTCATTAAAAAAAAAAAAAATGGCGGCGTCGCGTTACGATACGAAAGGAAATATCGTCGTTTAATAAATGCATTTTCTACGTTTATTATTATTATTATTATTATTATTATTATCATTACTGTCGGGTATGGAGACGTCAATTTTTGTATTGGTTTTGTCGTACCTCCCTACCCCTTCCCCCTTCCAAATCCTTTTTCTCCCATTTAAATCGCTTCCGAACGAGCGAACGTTTAAATAATGTATTAAAACTTTTGTTTCACGATTATTATTATTATTATCATTATTATTATTATTAATAATTTCTTCTTTACGAATCGTTGGAAATTTTAAACGATTTGAGTCACGCGTTCGTTTTGTGCCCTCTTGGAAATATCCATGATAATAATAATAATAGTAATAATAATTCTAGTTTTATTTAAATAGTGTATACGAGCGAATAGTTTTTTTGGAAATTGTTTCTCTATCATTTTCTCTCATTTCGCGTGCGTTTGTTTTTAACTTTTTTTCGGGGGTGGAGGAGAGAGGGGGATTTTACGCGGCGTTATATGTGTGACGTAATTTTCGAGAAAATTACATTTTTTGAATGCATTTTCTATTGTTTAAACAAAAAAAAGGAGAGAGATAGAGGGAGAGGAAAAAAAAATGCAAAACAAGACCGGAAAATTTTTATTTATTATCTGACCATCGCGGAACGAGTTACGGGAGGATGGGGAAACGCGCGTAAAATTTAAAAAAAAAACGCTGCGTGTACGTTTTTTTTATTTAAAAAAGAAAAAAAAAAAGTAACGTAAAAATGTAATCCAATCAAACGGCCATTAGGAAAAAGTTTATTTTTGATAATTGGCAACGATTAGCTTGACCTCATTTTTCCTTTTTTTTTTTTTTTTTTCTACTTTAATAGATATAAATATACGTGTGTGCATTGTAATAGCTTTAAGAGATGCCAAAAACCGGTTTTCTTCATGTCTCTCTCTCTCTCTCTCTCTCTCTCTCCTCTCTCTCCTCTCTCTCCTCTCTCTTTCTCTCTTCGTCTCTCGAATACGAAATTTAAAAAAAAATTTTTTTTTATATTTACCGGAAACGATAATTATCGTTACGATATGCGTACGTAAATATATCGATTAATCGAAAAAAAAAATAAAAATAATTTTCACTTTTTATTTATTATTATCATCATCATCATTATTATTATTATCATTATTAATATTATCATTATTATCGTAATCGATATCGCGAAGTCGAAAAGCGTTTTAAAGGTCAAACGAAAAAAAAAAATTTATTTTTATTTTTATTTTTAAATAAATTGATATATTATTATTATTATTATTATTAATTTTCTTCACATGCGTGAGTGCGTGGGTGTGTGCGTGCGTGCGTCCAAGTACGCGCGTACTTAAGTTCGAACGTTGATAAAACAAATTTTTTTCCGATATGATAAAAATAAAAATAAAAACAAGGTTAAGAAAAAAAAAAAGTTTTACGGTACACGTAGAAATTTATGTAAAAAAAAAAAAAGAAATGCATACAAAATATTTTTTATTTTATTTTTTCGACTGGAAAATTCGTTTTTTTTTTTTTTTTTTAAGGAAGGTTCGGAGGGTAGTTGAGGGGGTGGTGATGGTGGTGGTAGTGGTGGTGGTATTAAGGGATGTAAGGAAAAGAAAATTTATTTATTTTTTTTTTCCTCCCTGTAAAACGAGGGGCAATGCAGAAAAGGATTTCGTTTTTTTTTTTTTTTCGTAGGGGAAGGGGGAGGGGGTGTAACGAACTTTTCCTTTACGAAGAATCGCGGGGTTGTTTTCGTTAGTTTGATGACGTCAAATAATTTTGCGGTTTTTAATTTTCTTCTGCTCGTTTGTTTATTTATTTATTTATTTATTTATACGCGAACGTGTTTTTGTCGCTTACGTCGCTTACGTCGCATATATTTTTCCTCTACGCATAAAAAAAAAAAGAAAAAGGATTTTGAAATTTTTTTAATTTTCCCTTTTTTATTTTTCCTTTTCTTGGGGGAGGGAGAGGGGATGGGGATGGTGAAGGAGAAGGGGGTGTACATCTTTTCTGTTTTTTTTTTTTTTTCAAAGTTTTTTTTTTTTTTTTTTTTTTTTTTTTTCGAAAAGTTTCCTACTATCTATCACAAATAAAGTTAATTTGAAACAATTTTTTTTTTTTTTTCAAGTTTTTTTATACATGTCGCTTTTTTTTTTTTTTGAGGAGTCGTGGGGGGCGAAAGGGAATAAGAGATACATATATATATAGAATTTTGAATGTTGTTTATACGTTTGGAAAAGTTAAAAAAAAAAAAAAGAGAGAGAGAAAATTATGGAAAAGAAGAAAAGAAGGAAAAAATAAGTTTGAATTTTTTTTTTTTTTTTAGTAAAAAGAGTTTTGAAAGTTAAAGGAAAGAAAATTTTCTAAATAGGGAGAGAGATAAAGATGAAAATATAAAAGAAAGAGAGAGAGAGAAGAAAAAAAAAATTTTCTCTTTGTGTGACGTAAAAAAAAAAAAAAAAAAAAAAATTATTTTGCTCTTTTGGTTTAATACGATCAACATCATTTTTCAGCCAAGTGGAAAAAAAAAAAAAAATTTTCTTTCTCTCTTTCTTTTCAGATTCTTCGACGAAAATTTGACGAAAATTTTTCGTTTATTTATTATTTGTATTTGTACGGACGATCACCGGAAAACTCTCTATCTCTCTCTCTCTTTTGTTTGATTCAAACTTGTAAAAACTTGTTTGATTCAATCGTGTTTCGTTTAAATTTTAAATAAAATAAAGAAAAACAAAAATAAAAAATGTCAGACGACGGAAATATTTTAATATTTATTTATTTTTTTTCTTTGTCGTTTGTAGAAATTATATCGAAAGGAAAAGAATGAAAAAATTCTGTTGAGCTGTCGTCGTTGTTGTAAATTTTCTTTTAAAATTTATTCAATACACAAAATGTCGTCGTCGTCGTTTGTTTGTTTGTTTTTTTTTCGATATAGAAAAAAATAAAATGACAGAAAGGTTAAAAGGAAAATTTTTTCCCTCCCCCCTCCCCTGCAACAGATTGATATCTGCGTGACGTTGCCATTTTTGTTGTTGTTGTTGTTGTCCGAAATTATGGGCGAGAGATGGTGACACCACGTAAACGAACTAAAGTTTTTGTTTTTTTCTGGTGATTTTATTATCCTTACGATTGGTGACGCGTCGTCGTCATCGCCATCGTCGTCGTTGGCCTCATTTCGAAAAAGGTCAAATTGAAACAAAAAAAAAAAAAAAAAAAAAAAAATTATTTGCTACCCGCATCAGTCGTAATTTAATATTACAAGTTTTTATTTATTTATTTATTTATTATAATTATCATTATTATCATCGTTAAGACGTGAAACGTTCACGGTCAATATCGCTATAATTTTAATTTTTTTAAATACCAGTTTTGTGTGTGCGTGTGTGCGTGCGTGTGCGTTTTCTGACATGGAGTGAGTGTGACAAAATGTGAGAAGGAGTGCGTAATGAATTTAATTAATTTCTCTGCGTTTGATATTTTCGAATGAAAAGCGTTCGTCCGTTCGTTTGGTCTCAATTACCTGCCTAAAACAATTGTCGACAAAAGATTAAAATTATCGTGACGTCATAATTTTTTGTAAAACGTACGTTGTATGATTTTACGATCGACAGTTTTCCCTTCCGATTTTATTCCCCCGAGGGGTGAGGGGGGGTATTCGCGTCTCGGGTTTTTTTTTAATAAGGCGTTCGCTTGTAAAAAACGTCAGGAGGGTTTGAAATTTTTGTAATTTTCGATAAATTTTTTCGAACGGTTTTGTAGTAGGTACATCGGAGCGACGGGATTTTATATATGTGGGGACCTATATATATGCGTTCGAAATACTCACGCACGTGCGTGACGTAGATTTGTAAGGGAGAATCGAAATGGTCACGTTTTCGTGCGTTCGTAATCGTGCGTTTTGTGTTTTGCGTTCTTTGGAATTATCAACGAATTTTTTTGGCCCGTCACGATTTTTTTATATTGTTTCTTAAGAACGTAAAGATTCCGTCTCGAAAGCTTTTTTTGGAAAATGACCTTTTTTTCTCTCTCTCTCTTTTTGCCTCTTTTGCTAATCTCAAATCTTGTTTTTTTTTTAAAAAAAAAAAACAAATCATGGATTATTTGTTGTTTGTTTTTTTTTTTTTGTTTACTGTCGTGGTTTTAACTTGTTTTCAAATCGTGTGTTACGTTTCGTTTAATTTTTTTTTTTTTTTTTTTACTTTCAGGATTTAACCGTGACCGACGATACGGTTTTAGAAGAGCATAACGAAGATCCAAGTTTGGTACAAATGAGATTAATCGGAGATGGAGGTAAGTAAATAAAAATTATTATTATTATTATTATTATTATTATTATTATTATTATTATTATTATTATTATTATTATTATTATTATTATTATTATTAATGTTTAGAAAACAAAGAATTATGTGATCTGTATAGAGTAAATAATGGAACGTTGGAGAAAAAAAATTTAAAAAAAAATTTTTTTTTTAGTTGTGGATTCGATAATGAGAGGTGAAGTTGTTGGCATCACACCTAGAAGGTCAAGGTCGTCTGCAGTTTTAACGCAGCATCAGCAACATTCGGTGAGTGAGAATTTTTTTTTTGGTTTCCTCTCCCAACAAAAAAAAAAAAAAAGTAACCGAAGGAAATTTTTTTTCGTTTTTAATTTTCTTTCCCGACCCTTTCGGCCCCTCTTCTCGCCCTTCCCTCCCCGCAGTTTTTAAGAAAAAAGGGTTAAAATCGGTTGCGTCGTCGTATTTCTTTTTGTCGTTGTTTTTCTTTTCCACCTGACAAACGCAAACAATAAAACAAAAAACAAGAAAAAAAAAAAAAAAGCAAACTTTTTTTTTTTTTTTTTTTTTTTTTTTTTCCTCTTGCCATTCCTGTCAGAAAGCGTGGAAAATTAAAATTGAATTAGATTTATTATTTTGTAAAGTTTTCTTTTTTGTTTGTTTTTATATACTGGATTTTATTGATTTTCGTTCACCTTGAAAAATGTTAACTTGTGCAATCGGGAAATTTTTCGCTTGTTTGTTTGTTTGTGGAGAGAAAAAAGGAATCGAAAAAAAGGAAAACGACGATTGCGAATTCTAAAGGGTAGAGGGGAGTGGTGGTGGTGGTGGTGGTGTAGAAGGTCGAAGGGGGTAAAGAAAAAAGAGAGACAAACGAAAAAGTACAGTTATATGTTAGCTTTTTTTCTTTAATTGTTTTGGTGTTGTTCTTGTTTTTGTCTTCGTCGTCGTTATTGTTATTGTTGTTGTTGTTTTATTTATGGAAAAGAAAGTTAATTAAACAAACAAACAAACAAACAAAAATTTTTTTTTTTTGCTTGTTTTTAAATCGTATTTTAAATTAACAATATCGAATTCTTATAATCTCCGCTTTTATTTATTTTATTTTATTTTTTATTTTTTTTTGTTTTAAATTTAAATCATTATAATAATAATAATAATAATAATATTTTTCGCGTGGGAGGAGGAGGGGGGCATCTTTTTCTTTTCTTTTGACACGTTTTTTAAACGTTTTCTTTTTTTTTTTTTGTTTTACTCCCACGCAAAAAAAAAAAATACAAAAAATTGGGAGGCTCGTTCGATACGGTTAATTATTTTTCATGCATAACCGTTTCGAATGAGTTTTGTTTACGTGGATTCGATGTTTCTTTAAATTTTGTCGTCTGCTGTGAAATTCATCCCCTTTTTTTTCTCTTTTCATTCTGGAAAAAAAAGAAAAAAAATAATTAATAATTTTTTATTTATTAATTTTTTTTTGCGCGTTCGCCAGATCGTTATTTAATTGAGAGAATGGAAAGACGAATTACAAAAAAAATTTTGTCGTGTCATTAGATGTGGTTACTGTTTCTCTCTCTCTCTCTCTACAAATAATCGAAAATTAATTTAAAAAATTAAAATGTGAGAGAGAGAAAGAGAGAGAGTGACAAAGGAGGAGGGGGAAACAAAGTTGTCGAAAAAAAAAGGAAATTGTTTAAAACAAACAAAAAAAAAAAAAATTTCTTTTTGTTTTGTTTTGTTTTTATTTATTTATTTGTGGAAATCTCCCTTCCCCCCGTTGCCCCCCCTTCTCTCTCCCCTTTCTCCCCGATCTCGATTTGACCCGTACCTGAAACAATTTACGGTTTTTTCTTTTTTTTTTTTGTTAGACCACCCAAGTTATATTTGAATCGTTTAAATCTTTTTTTTTTTTTATAGACTATAATAAATCTTGTTTGTTAAGATTACGTTTCAATTATTATTATTATTATTATTATTAGTTTTGGAGATAGGGGTTGTTGTCGTTGTCGTTGTCGTCGTTATTTTTAGGGGCGGAAATGAATTATTTAAATGTAAACGCGTTTTAAATTCGTCTCTTTTACTTTTCGGGGGTGATTTTGTTGCAAAAAAAAAACTTTGTTTTGGTTTTCGGAAAATTTTAATTATTTAAGCGTGATTCATTTTCTTGGGGGAGTGGGGACGGGGCGGGGGAGGTGCTGTAAAATATTTTAGTCGTGGTAGAAGATAAAGAAAATGTTAACGAGAGTCGATATAATAAATTTTTACTCGTAAATCTGCGTAAATTAAAATCACATTTCGAACCAGGTCGAAGTTTTAAATTTTTTATTTATTTATTTATTTAAATAGAAATAATAATAATAATAATAATAATAATAATAATAATAATAATAATAATAATAATAATAATAATAATAATAATAATAATAATAATAATAATAATAAACAAAAAAAAGAGAGAGAGAGAATGCGTAAAGAACCCAGTAAAGTAATTATTTAAAAAAAAAAGAAAAAAAAAAAATTTTATTTTCATTCGTTCATTCGTTTGGTTTCTGCATCACGAATTCCAGCATTAAAACGTTTTCTTGTCCGCCATCTTTGTTGTTCCCAGGCGAGGCTCCGCAGAAGTGCAAAGAGCCGGCGAATTGTGTATACGTTGAGCGTTTTCATATACATTTTCTTTTTTTTTTGTTTATCATAAAAGAAATTAAATTTTTTTTTTGTTGATTTTTCCGGGGAGGGGTTAGTAGTGATTTCGTGCGTGAGTTTTTTTTTTTTTTTTTTAAATGGAAACGTGCGTATTTTTGTGAATTTTTTAAATAATAATAATGATAAATTTTTATTAGATTTTAAATATCGTCAATGTCTTTCATTCAAAAATAAACGCGGATGTTGATTGACGTGTTGTTGATTAAATTTTTTCCTTGTTTTTAAAATTTAAATAGTAATAATAATAATAATAATTAAATAAATAAATGAATAAATGAATAGATAGGTGATGATAATAATAATAATAATAAATAATTTGGGTAAGAAAACGGGAAAATTTTTCACCGTGAAATTTTTTTTTTTTTTTTTTTTCCTTGTTGTTGTTTTGTGTAATTTTTTTTTTTTTTTTTTTATTTGTAAAATTACCGGAAGTTATTGCACTTTAGGTGATCGTAAAACATCATTTAAGTCGTATCAATTTTCATTTACATTTTCTCTTTCTTTCTATCTCTCTCTTTTTCTTACTCTTTCTCTCTCTTGCTCCTCGAGCAAGACGAAAAAAAAAGAAAATTTGACGTTTCACGCGTGATTCTTATTCTTATTCTTTTTTTTTATTTTAATTTTCGTAATGTTGCATAATAAAACCTAGTAATAATAATAATGATAATAATGATAATTATAACAATAATGCATTATTATTATTATTATTATTATTATTATTATTATTATTATTATTATTATTATTATTATTAATATTAATATGGAGTTGTGCATTTGAATGTGAAATGTGCAATTTTTTTTTTAATTTAATTTTTTTTGTGATTTTAAATGTTAATTAATTAATTATTATTATTACCATTATTATTATTATTATTATTATTATTATTATTATTATTATTTTCACTTTTTGTTTGTATTTTGTTTTTGTATCGTGTTCTTGTTGTTATTTTTTTGTTTTTTTTTTTTTTTTGTTCGTGTTTTGTTTCTAGAATAGGATAATAATTTTCTATTGGATTTCATTCATTGTCGATGTTTTGTGTAAATGTGAATTTATGTAAGTAAAAGTTTTTTTTTTTTGTTATCCGCCCTTCCCTCCCCCCCTCACCTCACCTCAATTTTTTCCAGCCGCCATATTTGTTTTTTTTTTTTTTTCGAATGCGTGCTTGAGTACGTAAGGAAGACAGAAAGAAAGAAAGAAAGAAAAAAAGAAAAATTTAAGAAGAGTGATTATGAATAAATGATTTCGTATAATGATATTATTCGGAGTTTAATAATAATATGTCGTTCTCTTTTTTTTAATGTATAAAAGAGAGAGAGGGGGAGAGGGAAAACGTAGCGCGAAAATTCTTACGGTTAAATTCGTCGTCGTAGATATTTTTAGGAGAGAACGTGGAAGAAGGAAAATCCCGGGAGGTTTTGCAACGAACCAACGCTTTTTTCCGTTTTTCTTTATTTTATTTTTTTTATGTTATTTTCTCTTCTTTATGTCTTTTTACGGTGTCCTTTTAATAAATGTTTTTCATCTTTTTCTATCTTTTTTTGTTCTCTTTCGGTTTCGATTGTGCGTCGCCATTTTTTTTCCTTTTTTAAATGGTTTATTACATGTCCATGTATGTATTATTTTTATTAGGTATAAATTTAAATTTGGGTGTGATTGTTGTCGCGGCGCAGTTGCAGACGAGATAGGCTGTTGTAGGAGGAGGCTGTGGTGATATTGAGGTTCGTTTCGTAACGTCTTTTACGCCAACGCACGCGCACGCACACGCACACGCACACACATGCCAGTTGATTCCCTCTTGATTTTATTAAACGATAATATTAAATTATACAGATGTTCTTCGAATCATTATTATTATTATTATTTATCGTTTCCTTCTTTTAAATTTGTACCTGGGACAGGTAGGACATGAATCCGTTGAAAAATAATAAGGTAAAGGTTTGCGAAAATGTGCGTGCGTGTGTGCGTGTGTGCGCGTGTTTGCGTAAGTAAAATTTTTTTTTAAAAAAAAAGTTAAACAGTTTGTCGAAATGGAAATGTAAAAAAAAGTTACGTGACTAGTCATAATTAATTACTTGAGAGAGAGAGAGAGAGAGAGAAAAAAATGTTTTTCGATTAATAATAACATAAAATAAAATAATCATTTAACCGAGATCAGAAGTACTAGTGTAGTCGTTAAAAGCAGAAGACGGAATTGTGTAAGGAGAAAGATGCCATGCTGGGTGCACGAAGAAACCTCTCCTTCTCTCTCTTTCTCTCTTTCTATCTTTCCATCATTTTATCTCTTTCTCATCTTTCCTCTTTCAACTCTTAATTCAAAAATTTATTTTATATAAATGTTGTTTATAATAATTATTGAATTTGCCAAGTACACTTAAAACGATTATGATGATGATACGTACGTAGCAGCGTAAAAAAAAAAAAGTGGTTGGAAATATTATTATTATTATTATTTGCCATCTGCAGGACGACGATGACGATGTCGACGAGGACGAGGAGGAAAAGAAACAAGATTTCATCTTTTGTGTGGTTTAAAATTTTTTTTTTTTTTTTATTGCCGGAGTTTTGAAACCGGTTTGTTTTCTTTTTGTTGTTGTTGTTGTTATTTCTTTCTTTCTTTCCTCTCTCCCCCTGTTTTTTTTATTTTCGTTTAGTTGGAGTACCTGAAATCCTGTAGCATGAGGGAGGGGAGGAATGTCGTCGTTAACACGTTTTTTTTTTTTAATTTGTAAAATTAAGGTTCGATTTAAATTTAGTTTCTGAGAAATTTCTAGAAAATTTTTAAATACTTTTATATATAAATTTGTTTGAAAGTTACGCGCGATTGTTACGGAGAGATGAGAGAGAGAGAGAGAGAAAGAGAGAAAGAGAGAGAGAAAAGGGTGAATTTCGGGTTATTGATTGTGACGTGAACGTCGGCGGTTCCCTTTGTAAATTTACGATATGAAAGGAGAAAAAGGGAGAAAATGAGTGAGAGAGAAAAAGAGAGAGAGAGAAATGTTGAAAACGTTCGGCGGTTGTTGGGAAATTAGAAAACATGTACGTGTGTGTGTGTGTGTGCAAACGGGCCGTTGTTGGTTGTTGCAGCGAAGAGAAAGAGAGAGAGAGAGAGAGAGAAAGAGAAAATTTCCGTTCGTTCGTTTGGTCGTGTTATAAAATGATTGCTTTTAATTTTACAAATGATCGGAATTGAAATTTATCAACGGTAAATTTAAGGCCCTCCCCTCTCACCTCTACCTCCCTTAATCCCTCCTTCCCCTCCCCTCTCCTCCCTCCCAAAAAAAATTAAAAATTTTGTTTGACAATTTAAAAAAATTTAATTATGTAAACTGCAATTGCTCCGTTGTCGTTCCCTTTATTTGTACGAAAAAAATTCTAGAAAAATCCAAACATGATTGATGTTGTTTTTTATGTTTTTTTTTTCTCCCCCCTTCTTCCCCACATTCTTGTTTTATTTAATGTTTATGTTAATGTTACACGCAAACATTTAAAAACAAGAATTTCACGTTCCACGTTCCACGTTCAATGATATAATATGACGAATTTAACGTTTTTTCTCCTTTTTTCTCCTTTTTTTTGCCTTTTTTTTTTCCATTTAATTTTTTTTTTTTAGTGGTAATCGTCGTCGTCGTCGTTTGTAGTTGTGTGCGTGTACGCGTTTGCGTGTAGGAGTTGGGTTGAAAACGTGTATTTAATGTTTTAAAATTCAATTCAAAAACCATTTAAAGAAAAAGAAAAAAAAAAAAAGTTCACACATTAAATATTCATTTAACATTAATTAACGTTTACGTAAAGTTTTCATGATTGGGTTTTCAAGTCGAACGACGACACAAAAATTTACTTTTTTAATATATATATATTAAAAAAGATATATATATATTAATTTTTTAATATATATATATATATATATATATACGTAGAGAGAGAGAGAGAGAGAGAGTGCGTGTGCGTGCGAGTTGAAAAAAGATGAAAAGAAAATAAAGAAAAAAAAAAGAAAAAAAAATTTTTTTCTTGACAAAAACGGGGGAAGCAAAAGAAAAAGAAAAAAATTTCCTTCTATTTCTTGACTGTTATAAAAACCTTTTCTTCGAAAACAATTTTCTTTATGAGCGGAAAAGCCGGGATGAAAAATAATGTTAGAAAAAGGGATGAAATAGAAAGAGAGAGAGAGAGAAAAAAGATGGGGAAATGTAGGGAAACGGACGAAGATGAGGACGACGACGACGCTGCTGCTGCAACGTTTGCAAAGATGTAAAAAATTTTCTTTTTTCGGAATTTTGTTTTTCTCTCGCCCTAACCTTTCCCTCCTTCTCCTCCTCCCCCACGCTTTTACTTCGCTTTCCTTCCTCCCCCCCTTTTTTTTGTCTTTAATACGCGAGTTTTTTGTTTTGTAATGTTGGATGCAATTTTTTTGATTCATTAATTCATGTACTCATTCTCATTGATTTATTGATTTTTTTTTTTTTTTAATATTTACGTTTCGTCTGCTTTTACCCTTTTCTTTTCATTAATTTTCCTCCCTCCCCTTTCCCTCCCCTACCCCCGTGTGCTCATTTCTTTTCCTCTCTTTTTTCTTTCTATTCATTATATCTTTCTCTCTCTCTCTCTCTCTCTCTTTTTCTTTTTCAAACTTTTACTTTTTGGTTTCTTTAAGTTAACCATTTTTTTCGTGAAGGAAGGGGGAAGGGGAGAAAGGGTAAAAAGGGAAAAGTTGTTAAAAAATCATAAATAAATTTAATTTTTTTTTTTTTTTTTTTTACTAAATCCTTCATCTTTTGTCGACCGTAATTTAATTTTCTTTCTTTCCATTTTTCCTTTTTTTTCATTTTTCGTCAAAGGAAATTTTTTTTATTATATTTTGTTGTCCCCTCGATTTTTCTGAAACTATGTTTATAGACGCGACGATGAAAATAGTTGTCGTTGTTTTGCAAAAAAAAAAAAAAAGGATGGAATTTGAAAGTTTGTTGTTTGTTTGTTTGTTTGACGGTTGTTGTCTTTCGACGTGGTTTTTATTATCGTTTTAACAAATTTTCAAAAAAAAAAAAGAAAAAAAATTCGTTTGTTTTATGTTTTTTTTTGTATAAAGAATTCTAGAAGTTTTTTATTTTTATTTTTTTGCTGCTTTAATGCTTTTTTGTTTGTTTGTTTGTTTGTTTGTGTTTGTTCGTTTTTGTGCTGTCGTTAAAAAGCATAAATTATCCTTCTTTTTTTTTATTTTACATGTCGATACTGAAATAAAATTTCGGGCTTGTAAAGCAAAAAAAAAAAAAAAAAAAAAATTTACTCGCGTTTTTTGTTGTTGTTGATTCGGCAAAGTTTTTGTTGTTGTTGTTTTTTTTTTACTTTTCATTCGATTCGAAGTTTCTGAACGTACATGTCCGGATGAGGTAGAAAGAGAGAAAGAGAGAAAATCGATCCCCGGAAACGAAACGAAAAAAAAAAAATTTTTTTACATTAATTAAACGTGGAGAGGAGGAAAAAAAATGTTTGTGAAAAGTTTTAGGGTATAAAAGAGAGAGAGAGAGAGATCGTAAATATGACGTATAAAAAAAAAAAAAGATAAAAGTTTTATTTTTCCTTTTTCTAGTGACCCGTTAAAAGTTTAGTAAAATTTAAAAAGAGAAAGAGAAAGAGAGAAAGAAAAAGTAAAAACAAAAAAAAAAAGTATATACAATCGGTTATATAATTTATATTTTTTTTTTAGGGGAGATTTAGTTAGGGGTAGTTTTTTTTTAAAAAAAAAAAAAAAGGGGCGTATTTAAAGCCGAAAGGGATGCCAGAACCGAGTAAGGGTCGTAAAAAAAAAAAAAAAAAAAAAGGAAAAAAGAAAAGAGTAGAAATAATAATAATAATAATGAAATCCTTTTTTTTTCACGTTTTTTTTTTTTGACTTGACTCTTTCATTTGGTTTATGCATTTAACGTTTGTTTGTTTGTTTGTTTGTTTTTGTTTTTCCTTTGAATGTTTTTTAACTCTGGAAATTTTTTTTTTTAATTTTTTTACTCCCTGGAAACTTTTTTGTGTTGTTTTTATTTTTTTTCATTTTTAAATTAAATTTTTTTTTTTTTTTTTTTTTTTGTAAAAAAAGGAAAAAAGGAATGAAAAAAAAGGTCAAAAGGTTTTCGAAGGTTTCGGTCGGTGCACGGTTGGGAAATTTTTCCTTTCTATGATTTTTCATCGGGGGGTATTGATGATGTGACGTCATTGAAATGTTTTTTCTTTTTTCTCTCTCCCTTCCCATTAAGACGATCATGCTGCGGATTTCGAAAAGGAAAAAAGGAAAAAAAGGGTCGAATGCATGCATAAAAGTTGTAGGTCATTAAAAAAAAAAAAATGATTTTAAAAGGCGGTGTATCAATATCACGCGGTATCGCGTGACGGATTTAAAATTGTTTTTTTTTTTTTTAAATGCGGATAAAAATGTTTTTTTTTTTTTTTTTTAATCATTCGTCACGCTGCGTGCGTAACAGGAGCGTGACCTTTTTTTTACTTTTTAAATTCTTACTATTTAAGTTAATCAATAAAAAGAAAAAAGAAAAAACTTTAAAACGCCGCGCGGCGTCACGCATGTGTGCGGTGACATTTTTCATAACGCATCTTTTTTTTTTTTTTTTTTGGTATTCGTTTTATTATTATTATTATTTTGATCCATTTTAAATGATGATGATTATCATTTTGCGCGATTCGGTCACACACTTTTTCAATGAAAATAGAAAAAAAAAAAAGACGTCACGAACGTGAGAGTGACGGCGGTTGTTTCGTAAAAAAAAAAAAAAAAAAAAAAAAAAAACGTTAAAATTAGAAAAAAAAAAGAATTCAAGGTCGTTAAAATGAAAAAAATTCACGCCCGACTAATGATTATAACGTTTCACTCGAAGAAACAAACGCCTAATGGGTTGTTGTTGTTGTTGTAATGACGGAACAACAAAGATGGCCGATCATCAAATTTAATTCGTAAAACAAATAAATTGAAAAAAATTTATTATTATTATTATTATTATTGTTTTTTTTTTTTCTTTCAAGTCGGATAAAAAACGTTACAAAAAAATTATTATTATTATTACACCGGAAATGGTTCTTTATCCCTTTTTTTTTTTTTTTTAATTTTAATTTCGAACTTTGTCGTCGTCGTCGTCGTCACCTTTGGCTAAGGTTAAAGAAAGAAAAAGTTGCGTTTGTTTTTGTTGCGATTTGTTCACGGAATTAAAGTGGGTTGGGGGTAGGAGGTGAAGGAGGAGGGGGAAGGAAACGAAAGGAGATGATGTTTGTTTGTTTATTTTTTTTTTTTTCCTTTTAAACCGACCGGAAGTGCAGATATGCACGAGTTTAAAAAAAATTGACGTCTGCTACTGTTTTTTGAGGGGGAATGCCGTTATTATGAAACGATCGACTATATAAACGTTTGATAAAAAATAAAGCAAATCTATTAAAAGTTTTTTTTTTTTTTTTTCCCCTTACATAATCCTTCGTGATAAGGTTTGTTATCATTTAACAATGATGACGACGACGACGTGTCACCAACTTGTCTAAACGACAGTTAGTAGTAGCAGTAGTGAAATTAAATTCAATGAAAATTAATCGTTACGTCGTTTGCTGCCTCCTTTTTTGCGTAAAGATTTGAGAGAACGCTGCGTTTTTCTTCCGCATCGCACTCTCTCTCTCTCTCTCTCTCTGCGTTACACTTTTCCTTTTTGCGTTTTATTTTTCCATCGGTTTTTAAAATTAATATTTAATTTGAAATTTCCAAATTTTCCATTAATAAATTTATCACATGACATTTTTTCGCCGCACATATATTATGGATTTAAAAGTCAAACGACTCCGCGTAAATTTGCATCAACTCAAAGAAGTTTACGAAATGTCGTCTGCTGCTGTTGCTGTTGCATTGTTCGTTTAAAATTTACTACTAGTAAATAATATCGCGATAGTTTTTAATAATAATGATAATGAATGAATGCAAAAAGAAATTATTATTAAAAATGAAATTGTTTGTTGTTTGTCGTTAAAAAAAATTTATTATTAATTATTAAGTAATGTTGTACGATGGAAATTTGTTGTTTTTCCTTTTTTCCTTTTTTTCCTTTTTCATCGTACTCCTGCGTTTGTTTTTCAAACCTATAATGAGACGTTTCGACAAACAATTAACAAAATATAATTGAATAACTTTCGTTTGTTTATATTTATTTAATTTTGTTTGTTTTGTTACAGGGTTCTCGAGTTAGCCGGTTAAGTTTATCAAAACATCAAACGAATAGTAGCGGCGGCGGTATTTATTACAACAAAAAACAAAAAGCTGGAAAATTATCCGGGATTGTACCGGAAACGACGACGAAACAGGAAACTTGCGAAAAAGGTAATTGAAATAATAATTTTTATATTTAAATTTATATATTTTTGGTTGTTGTTGTTGTCGTCACCGGTAAATTTTTATAATTTTAATCCCTTTGCGAATATTTTCTTCTTTCTTCTCCCACGTTTTTTCGTTTTGATAATGTTTTACGTCGTACGTATGTTACCTCGTAATAATAATAATAATAATAATAATAATAATAACCTTTTTTTTCGGGATTTAATGACGTACTTGAAAATGGCGGCGATAATAAATTATTCGATTAAAAAAAAAAAAAAATATTTCGCCGCGTTACATAAAAATTCTCTCAGACCGAGGAAAATTTGCATTTTAATTTAAAAAAATAAAAATTCTGGAATAATAATAATAATAATAATTTACGTGGAATTATAATAAAACGTTGCGTTTGTTCGTTCGTTTGTTTGTTTGTTTGTTTGTTAACTTCTTTGCTGTTTTTTTTTTTTTTTTAATAGTCTTCCGGGTAAGAAAATTTTTTTTTTTTTTCGTGTTATTAATTTCCCCTGTTTTTTTTTTTTTTTTAAATTAAAAGCGGGTTTTAATTATTCAAATTTCGGTTTGTTTAGTTTTAAATTAAAAAAAAAAAAAAAAAACGTTACTAGTAATTAGTCGCGAATGACGTCATTGTTTTACGCGAAAATAATAATAATAATAGTAATTAAATTGAGTTTTTTTTTTATTCGATGCGGTGCGGGAACAGGTAGTAGTAGCAATTATTATATATTTACGTCGTAGGCTTCTTATGCGATAGTTTATCAGGTGCAAAATTGATTACGACGTTGCCAAATTTCCAATGGAAAATCAAAAAAAATTGCAACGGTGGAATTGTTTTGAAATATAAGTTAAAGTTCGTTATTACCGTAGTTGTACCTGTAGTTTAAAAAAAAAAAAAAATTTTTTTTTCGTACGTGGTTTTAACGAAAAAATTGTCAAGTCATTTATACGAAAAGGCGGTGGTGATGATGATGATGATGATGATGATGATGATGATGATAATGATGATAGAACGCACTTATGTTGGAGAGAGATAAAGTGGGCGCACACAATGTTAACCATTTATGGAACTTTCATTAATCAACTCGGGTTAAATAACTGATTTCCTTTCCTATCTTTTCTCTCTCTCTCTCTTTCTATCAATTTTTATGTCTCTATCTCTATCTCTCTTTTTCTCTCTCTTTTTTTATTTCATTTTATGACATTATAAAAAAGATGACTTGCACGTTTTGTTTTGTTTTGTTTTTTTTTTTTTTTTCTTTTTAATTCGATGTCATTCTTTGTTTGATTGGTGAACGACTTGCCTTTTCTTGTCTACCATCTATCTATCTTTCTATCTATATATCTATCTATCTATCCATACATCCATCCATCTGTCTACGTATTTGGTTCGTTGTACTGTTGTTTCTTTTATTATTATTATTATTATTATTATTATTATTATTATTTTGTTAGAAACGTTTGTTATTGTCATTGAATGCTATTGAAATTGTTTTCGTTTTATTATTGTTTTTCTTTTTTTCTTTCTTTCTCTGCCTGCCACTGTCTCTCTCTCTCTCTCTCTCTCTCTCTCTCTCTTTCACTCTTTCGAACGAAAGCATCATAACATTGTCGCCAACTCAAAAAAAAAAAAAAAAAAAAAAAAAAAAAATTATTTATGTGGATGAATTTTTATTATATCTTCGCGTGCGTGTATATATATATTTTTTTTTTAATGACGAGGTAATAAAAATCAACGTGTCCCCCTTCCTCTTTCCCTCCCCCGGTCCCCCGCCTCACCCCCAGTCCGCGTCGAAAACAAGACGCGGACGGAAAAATAAGAAAAAATTGTTTTTTTTTAAATATTTTTTTTCTATATGTTAGTAACAAACAAACAAACAAAAAAAAAAGAAAATTAAGTTGGTAAATCGTACGTGGGAATTTCAGTAATGAGTAAATAATAATAATAATGATAATATTAATAATAATAATAATAATAATAATAATAATAATAATAATGATAATATTAATAATAATAATAAAACTTGTAAAGGAGAATTAAAAAAAAAGCTGGAAGGAAAACAAAAAGAAAAAGTTTTTTTTTTTTTATATTCTCGTTCCACGATTTTTTAAAAGGGTTAAAAAAAAAATTTTTTTATGGTTTGCATAAACGAACAAAACCATGGGATGATGATGATGATGATGATGATGATTCGTAAATCGAACAAACAAACAAACAAACAAACAATCGGGAAAAAGAAAGAAAGAAAAAAAACTGGAAAAGATTAATAGTAATAAAAAAAAAAATGGAATCGAAAACGTCGTCGAGTCTCGTCGAAAAAATTATTATTATTATTATTATTATTTTATTTTTTTCGAAGTCGGAGGAGGCGGCGGCGGCGGTGGGAATAATGGCGGTACGACGATGACGTCATAGAAAAAGTAATGAATGAGAAGGAATAAAAAAAAAACATCGTCAAATCGAATCCGCGTTTTCTAGTTAATATAATAAAATTAAATTTTTTTTTTAATTTTCTTAACGAATGCGATTGCGTGAGTGCGTGAGTGCGTAAGTGCGTAAGTGCCCGTGGAAAAAAACCAAAAAATTAATGGAGAAAAAAAAAACGTTTTTAATAATTAGAAAGTAAAAAAAAAAATAATAAATAAATAAGAAAGGAATTGATTTTATCGAGTTTTTAATTCGTTATATAAACATAAAGACGGATTGAATTTTAAAATGACTTTATAGGTTTTTAGTTGTTAGGTCGGCGGTTGCGTAGGCGGTGGAAACCGCTCTCCTGCCACTGCTTCCATTCATGCCATTTACAAGTCATGTGGTTAATGTCAGGCAGGATGTATTTTCTTATTTACCAGTTTTTTTTTTTTTTTTTACCGGTGGCAATTAGTTACCGGAGATTAAAAGAAATTTTTTTTTTTTTTTTTGTGTTTGGTTCGAGGCTGTTTTAAATTCGAACGTTTAAAAATTATTATTATCATTATTATTATTATTATTATTATTATTATTATTATTATTATTATTATTATTATTATTATTATTATTATTATTTATGGGGCCTCAAGTTAAAATTTATTGACTCATTCATCAAAAAAAAAAAAAATTTCGTTGTTGTTGTTATTGTTGTCGTTGCGGTTGTTGTTGTTGTTGTTGATCGATTGTTTAATATGACGTTGAAATGAATGGAAAAAAAAAAAAAAAAATGAGGAAGAAGGTGAGAGTCGTGGAAAGGCGGGAATGAGGAAAAGATTTTAAATTTTAAATTTTCCGGCCATTTTTCCGTTCCTGTTGATTGCAAAAGAAATATTAAAAAAAAAAATGGCGAATTTTAGTAAATAACAAACACAAATATTTTCCAATATTTTTCCAAAACGCTTTTTCCTCTTCTTTTTCTTTTTACCTTTACGCCCCCTCTCTCTTTCTCTTTCTTGTTAAGATGAATTGTAATTAAAAATAAATTTTGTAATTTGAACTTTTGGAACAAAAAGGAAAATTTTTTTGTTTTTTTAAAAAATTTTCCGAGTTTTCAAAAAAAAAGTTAAAAAGGTTTAAAAGGAGGAGGAGGAGGAAAAGAAAAGGAAGAAAAGGAAGGGGAGCGGGAAAAGTGATTTGCTAATAAACCTTTTTTTCTTTTCCCTTTCTTAAACATCGTTTTACCTTTGAAAATTTGTTTTCTCACTCTCTCTCTCTCTCTCTCTCACTCGTTGATTTCATTCCTTTCCAGAATTTTTTTTTTACCCTTCGTATTAATTTTACCCTTCTTTTGCACACTCACCCATTCGGTAAAAATTTCTATTTCTCATTCACCGTCTCTCTTTTTCTTTCTCTCTCTCTCTCTCTCTCTCTCTCTCTCTCTCTCTCTCTCTCTCTCTCTCTCTCTCTCTCTCTCTCTCTCTCTCTCTCTCTCTCTCTCTCTCTCTCTCTCTCTCTCTCTCTCTCTCTCTCTCTCTCTCTCTCTCTCTCTCTCTCTCTCTCTCTCTCTCTCTCTCTCTCTCTCTCTCTCTCTCTCTCTCTCTCTCTCTCTCTCTCTCTCTCTCTCTCTCTCTCTCTCTCTCTCTCTCTCTCTCTCTCTCTCTCTCTCTCTCTCTCTCTCTCTCCCCTACTCCTCCGAAAAATTCATTTAAATATTTAACGGAAAATTTTGGGTTTTTTGGAAAATAAAATTTTAATTTTAATGAATGAAAAAATAATAATAATAATAATAATAATAATAATAATAATAATAATAATAATTTTCTTTCTTTTTTCCGTTTTGCGTGGGTTCGGATTTGACCTAAAAAAAAAATTTTTTTTCTTTGCATTTATAAATTGTTTTCCGGGAGGAGAAAGAAAGAGAGAGGGGGGAGAGGAAGAGAGAGAGAAGGAGAGTCGAAGGAATGAAATAAAAATAAAAAAAAAAGGAAGAAAGGAAATTGTTACTGCCACGTTCTCCGTTCTCGTAACAACAATCATATGCAGGTGTTTGTCGTATTGTTTATTTTTTATATTTCACGCGCGCATTAAATTTTTTTTTTCGGGCTTCGATGGAAAAATATTTTTTTAGAAATTAATCTACTTCCACGTTAAGATTTTTACACTTTTTTTTTTTTTCTTTGGTTGGTTTTATTTCCGGTGATGTGATAAATGAATCGCGAAAACCGAGATTGTAAACGACAAAACAATTAGGTGTGAAATGTTCGTGGTAAAAGAATTAAGTAGGTTATCGTATTACTAATGCCACGATTACGACTATTACTACTACTTTAAAGTCCTTGGATTTGTTAAGGAAACAATTAAAACGAAAGGAAGAAAGACAAAGGTCTATTCTTGCGTTTTTACGCAACCGCGTTAAATAATTAATTCGAAATTTATGAATAAGTTGGGGGGAACGCCTGAGGTGGAGGAGGAGGAGGAGTGGTAGTAAATGAATAAGAAAACACTTTTTTTGAAATAATAATAATGTGACGAACGAACGAACGTGTCAAGAATTTCACGCCATTATTTTGTCTGTCGTCATCATCGTCACCGTCGTCGTCGTCGTCGTCGTCTGCTTTAAACGTTTTCATTTTCGTTTAATTATTATTATTATTTTTTTACTCAAACGTTTTTCGTACGTAAATTAATTTACGAAAATTTTTTTTTTTTTAATTTTTTTTTCTTTTTATCCGAATTTGATTTTATTTCGTTTGTTTGTTTGTTTGTTTGTTTCTTTTTAAAGCGATTTACTGAGAAAAAAAAAAAAAAGAAATTTTTACGGACCGTCCGACATTTTGTTTTTTTTGTTACTTTCTCTAATCCTATCATCGCATAATCCTTATTATATTGGATTACCTCGTTTTCGTGTAAGTTCACGTTCGGTTATGCTTTTCCAAGTTTTCCTTTATTTTTTTTTTTTTTGCGTCGGTATAACTTTTGCTAAAAAAAACAAAAAGTTTCCATCTCTCTTTCTCTCTCCCACTCTCTCTATCCACCATTTTTCTTCTTCTCCACGGAATTTTACAAGTTAGTTTTTAAAAAGTTTTTAATTGAATTTATTTTGACGC